ATCGAGTTAAGGCTTCTGAAGATCAGACTTTGTGGCATCGTCGTCTGGGACATCCTGCATTTGGTGTTTTCAGTTATTTACCTTTTGTTTCTGGTGTTAAAGACGTTCCAACCAAGTTTGGTGGATGTGATATTTGTTTTCAATCTAAGCAAACGAAAGAAGTGTTTTTGGAAAGTTCTAATAAAAGTTTGAGTGCATTTGATTTGATACACACTGATCTTTGGGGTCCATATCGTATACCGTCTTCTTGTGGTGCTGTTTATTTCCTGACTATAGTAGATGACTACTCAAGGGCGGTCTGGATACACCTTCTCCTCGAAAAGTGTGAAGTCAAGACGGTTCTTCCAAATTTCATTGCTCTAGCGGATCGGAGCTTTGGAAAGAAAGTAAAAACAGTCAGAAACGACAATGGAACAGAATTTACATGTTTGTCGAAGTACTTTGGTGAGAAAGGGATTCTACACCAGACATCGTGTGTCGGGACGCCGCAACAAAATGGCAGAGTAGAGAGGAAGCATCGTCATATTCTGAACGTTGCGCGGTCACTTCTGTTTCAGGCAAGTTTACCGGTTCGTTTTTTTTGGGGAGAAACTGTCTTAGCGGCTGCTCATCTTATTAATAGAACACCTACGAAGCTTCTTCAGGGGAAGACACCTTATGAATTGTTGTATGAGAGTAAGCCATCGTATGATAATATTAAGATGTTCGGTTGTTTGTGTTTCGCACATAAAGCTAGGAGAGATAAAGATAAATTTGGAGTAAGGAGCAGAAGATGTATCTTTGTTGGATATCCATTTGGTAAGAAAGGATGGAAGCTTTATGACTTAGATAACAAGGAGTTCTTTGTGTCTAGGGATGTGGTGTTTGATGAGATGGAGTTTCCATATGCACGGAAGATGATTGAAGCTTCTCCTCCGCCAGTGGCGCCGGTAGAGATGGATTCTGAGTCCGATGAAGAGATGTTGATGTCTGAGACTTTCATAGACAGGGGGAGCAGTCCTCCGGTTGTAGACTCAGCTACGGAACAGAGTTCAGATGCAGAGCAAGTTAGCAGCGAGGTGACGACGCTACCAGAGGCTTCAGCAGAAAGTACGAATACAGAGGAGGCATTGGGGCGTGGTCAAAGACGTCCAACACAGCCGGTTAAGCTTCGTGACTATGTGCTTTACAATACACAGAGCTCCTCTGATAAACATAACACCGTCTTAGACACTGGTCTTCAAGCAGAGTCGTCTAAAAAGGGTCCAGGTAACATACTCTATCCAATTACTGATTATGTGAGTGATGCTCAGTTTTCAGATCATCATCAAGCCTTTCTTGCGGCTGTGAGTGCTGGGGTCATACCAAAGAATTACAAGGAGGCATTTAAAGAACAAAAATGGCGAAATGCAGTAAAGATAGAGGTTGATGCGCTTGAAGGGAGCAGAACATGGGACGTGGTAGATTTACCTGTTGGGAAGAAAGCCATTGGTAGCAAATGGGTGTTCACAATCAAATACAACGCAGATGGGACGATAGAGAGATATAAAGCTCGACTGGTTTGCTGTGGAAATCATCAAGTAGAAGGAGAAGACTATGAGGAAACGTTTGCGCCGGTGGCTAAAATGGATACGGTACGTACATTGTTGGAAGTTGCTGCTGCAAAGAAGTGGGAAGTACATCAGATGGATGTCCATAATGCGTTTTTGCATGGAGATTTAGAAGAGGAATTGTTCATGCGGATGCCTCCAGGGTTTCAATCCGACAATCCCAATAAAGTGTGCAGATTAAGGAAATCGTTATATGGTTTGAAACAAGCGCCAAGGTGTTGGTTTGAGAAATTGATAAAAGCTCTCAAAGGGTTTGGTTTTGTGCAATCGTATGAGGACTACTCATTGTTTAGTTACGTAAAGGGAGATAAGTGTATCCGAGTTCTCATCTATGTAGATGATCTGATTGTGGCAGGAAACGACTTGGGCATGATTGCGAAGTTCAAGAAACATTTGAGTGATTGCTTTCACATGAAAGATTTAGGGAAAGCAAAGTATTTTCTCGGCATAGAGATAGCACGAGGACCACAGGGAATGTTCCTATCACAACGTAAATATGCGCTGGACATAATTAATGAGGCTGGGATGCTTGGTAGTAAGCCGGTCTCGACACCAATGGAGGTCAATCATCAGTTGCTGGCAGACAAGACGAGTCCTTTTTGCACGGATCCTATGCGGTTTAGAAGAGTGGTAGGACGGCTGGTGTATTTGACCATAACACGGCCTGACCTGTCTTATCCGGTGCATGTTCTATCGCAGGTAATGCATCAACCAAGGGATTCACATTGGGCTGCAGTGTTGAGGATATTAAGGTATCTAAAAGGATGTCCAGGACAAGGAGTAATGCTGAGGTCTGACAGTGATCTGAGAATAAGGGCATATTGTGATTCAGATTGGAATTCATGTCCGCGTACGAGAAGGTCGTTGTCCGCATACATGGTGTTACTTGGGAACTCTCCTGTTGCTTGGAAAACAAAGAAACAAGATACAGTGTCGCACTCGTCAGCGGAGGCAGAATATCGAGCAATGGCTGATGCATTAAAGGAGTTGAAATGGCTGAAGAGGTTACTGGCGGATCTTGGAGTGGTACATGGCGAGCCAATGGAGTTGTTTTGTGATAGTAAGGCTGCTATTTATATCGCAGCAAACCCAGTCTTCCACGAACGGACGAAGCATATCGAATCAGATTGTCATAGTGTGAGGGACGCAGTGAAGGCTAAACTCATCGCCACTATCCATGTTCGGACTAATGAGCAGATTGCAGATATATTGACAAAAGCATTGGGGACTAAGGCTTTTCAATACTTGTTATCCAAGTTTGGAGTGTGTGATTTGCACTCTCCAACTTGAGGGGGAGTGTTAGAGGTTCTAGATAGTTCTAGAACCAACATATATATATTTGTATTATGAAGGTTGGTACGTAAAGATAAGTATGGGAGAAGATACGGGTAGATATCGATATGGGTAGAAGATTTGTTCTTATCAGTCTGTCATAATGTATATATACCACTATTGTGGACGTGAATAAACATCAAGTCTTTACCATCTCTCTCGATTTACATATAGAGTTTGAGTTTGTTGTTCTTGAGTTTTGAGTTAGTTTCTCAAAGGATTATAAAGAGAGTTATTCTTTATTCTTTGCGTTACATACAAACTTGGAATCTAGATCACTATCGTACCATTTTTATTATTAAGTGCGGTAAAAAGAATGTAAGGATTGGCATTTGATATCGAATCCGACCCACATAGTATAGATATTTTGCTGTAATTGAAAAGGTCTTTATTTAATCGAGTTTATTGATTTTTTGTTAAGTTATAACTTTTGTTCTAATAGGAGCCATAGAGTGAGAGATGTAGAAGAATAAGATGAAGATAGAAACAGAAACAAATAAGCCAATCTACAAGCAAGATGAAGAACCTGTGAAGAATACGTCGAGAGAGAGCTTTGAGCTTTCCATAAGAGTTTGTTTTTCGTATTGGACTTTGGCTTATTATAACAGAGTGGTTTGGGCTTGGCCTGAATTTGATTGTTTTGGGCATTCTGAAGTTTTAAAAGCTTCTTACAAGGTAGCCCATCTAGTCCAATTGTGTGCGTCACTTTATATTTTGCTAGATACATTCGTTGGTCAAATTATATGATATGATATTTATGATAAAAGCATTTATGATTGTTTCCCTAGATATAATATTTTCTTTCCATAAATAAAACTTACGGAATTACCATAAATGACTAATATATATATATATATGACACTTAATGATTCTAATAATAAATATTTGATAACACTTTATATATCGTCCATCATTTTTCTTTAATTTTATATTATGAAAATAAATTAAACAATCAAATTAGCTATAAAATTAAACTTTAGATTTTTTCGTATAGGTTATATTTTGAATTTTAAAAAACGAGAATAAATAACTAAATATTAAAATTATTATGTTTAAAATTAATGATCAATAGTTTAACATTTTTATTATAAAAAGATATACATGAATTTAAAACCATATAAGTAAAAAGTATCATTCAATAATAAAACAAATATATATACAGATTAAACTATATACCATATAAGATTACATAAATATTTTAATTTCAAAATCCTCAATAAATTTTCAAGAACATTTATAAATTATAAAATTATTAAATTTTTCACACTGAAAATTTTTGTTATCAATGATTTAAATATCTTAGTTCTTTTTTCTAATTTTATATTTTTAAAAGATATTAACAATCGATAATATGGTTATTTTTGGTATATACCATACAAACCGAATGGATGTGATATTATAAAAACCATAAGATTTGGATATGGTTTGATTTATAACCGATTAAACTGAAACATGTAAATATGTATATATTTATAACAACGCATGAATATCTATTTGTTACATGAGTTGAACTATAATTATAATTTATAAATAGCTAACAATTTATTGCAACTTAGACTTCTTATTTTGATCTTTTTCTTTTTTAACAGTAACTAAATTGAAGTAAAGATTATAAATTTGATTGACAACAATTAGTTGAAATTCTTTACAACTTTTTTTATCTTTAAACAAACAGAGTTGTGTTCAATCGAACACATATTGGTTTGATGAACACTAAATATGGAAGAATATAAAAACTTTTCTTTCATGCTTCTGTTTTGTTTTTTATTTTTATTTTCAAAATTTAGTGTTTTGATATTAATTCTAGATTTGATCATTTTATTAGATGATAGAAGCCTTTTTTTTGTTTTTTATTCTTTTATTTAAATATATAATATTTTTTTAATAAATGATTCTATGACAATATGACTCTAAATATGATCATATTATATATTTGTATAATATATAATATGATCTCAAACTATATAATCATGTTTTTGGTATAAAATTGAATAAACTGAAAACTGATGGTATATAAACCAAATCAAACTGAAATACATATAGATTTAGAATAGTAGTTGTATTTTAATAATCAAAATACCAAAAAATCGAGCCGAACCGAAATCCGATATTCGGATTGAACACCTCTAATCCGAGTGAAACCGAATTATTGTTTCATTTTTCAAAACATAATAAAAATAATAGCTTCATCCCGCGCAAGACGAGGGTCTTATCCTAGTAATCTTTTAATTTAGCAATCTATTACGATAATCGCGTTGTTCCAACCACATAATAGTACAAACGCGCGTTTGTTTAAAAACAAATCGCGTAAATCTGGGACATTAGATCTACGCAGGCCAAAAACAAAAAGAAACTGTACTTTTTGAACCTTTGATATAAACTAAACAGGTACAAACGGTGGAACAAACGTCGTTGATTTCTCGTAACAAAACGGCGCTGCAGGATGCTGCCACGTCTTGAAAACCGGCGTTTTCTCAACCGCAACCGCAATAGCTTTCGTCTGCTTCTCAACCGGCGGTTGGTTGACCGGTGAGTCTGGGGAAAGAGTTAGCGGCGAGAGGAGAGGTATAGCCGTTTTCCAGTTGTTCGCCGGATCAGGGACTATCTTTAACGCTGGAGCTCGCTTTTGTAAACGACTGGGCTGCCGCTGATTACCTGAACCAGAGCTGCAGCCCGTTGTCTTCATCGTCGTGGACATAAAGCAAGAACCAAAGGGGGTGTTGAAAGAGGAAGACTAAATAAGCGACTTGGAAGCTAAAATGAAATTTATGGTTGTCCGTAAAGATCTGAGAGAGAAGATGGAGTTTTGATTTGTGAGCCTTAAAGATTCTTGTGCGTGTGTTTATATATATAAAGGCGTGTGCGTGTGTTATGCATAGAAAGCTGTTGTGTTTTTATGTGGACTGTACACAAAGTTTATGGTCAAAGATAATGAAAGATAGGACTTAGCTGTTTTTGTCTAACTTTTCTACTTTATTTTCTGTGGCTTTGCTGGATTTCTCAATCCTGCCGTTTCTTTTATTTATACTAAAATCTAATTTTTCCGAGCTAATAATATTTTATGTTTCTTACTTTCTTCCCTTAATATATACTTATATAATAATATTTTGGATGATTCATACCAATTGATAAAACGCAAATAGGTTTGTTTTTGTCAATTTGATTTGTTACTCAAACTTTGACCTAAAACCAATTTCACTATTTTTTTTGTTCTGGCGTTTGTTTCTCGTATTCACATGAGAAAAAAGGGATAATTACGATGAAATAATGGACTTATTTTTTGGTTCATTCTGTAGGATGAAATTCTAAGTTCGTCAACCAATAAAATTGCATTATTAAATATTTCATTATTAAACTTTATTATGGTTTTAAAATAAAATGATAAAACAAATAAAAAATAGTAATAGTTACAATTTTTTTAATATTTTAATTCTGTTAGCAAAACACTAAATTTTAAATCTTAAATTCTTAAGTAAACATTAAACCTTCGGATAAATCTTAAATCCTAAATCAAAACACTAAACACTAAATCTTAAAAAACACTAAAACCTTAATCATATCCATAAGTCCTTGGATAAATTATAAATCCTAGATTTATGGTATGTTCAAGGGTTTAGAATTTAGTATCTAGTGTTTTGGGTTTATTATGTTTCTAACGCCGTTAAATATATTGTAAATTTTATTTATTTCTATTTAAGGGTTTAAGAGTAAGGATTAAATGTTTCGTGTTTTTAAAATTTAGTGTTTAATGTTTTTAGTTTAGTATTTAAGATTTATCTGAGGGTTTATGGTTTCCTTAAGGGTTTATGATTTACTCAAAGATTTAAAGTTTATGATTTAGAATTAGATTTTAGGATTTAGGTTTTGCTGACAGTGTTAAAAATGTTATAATATAAAATTATAATTTTGCAACCAATAATAACTCGAAACTATGATAGAACCCGTGCGTCCGTACAGATGTTTGTTAATTTTTTGTAGATCAATATATGTTTTGTATTATTGGTAGTATATATTTTCTAGTTAATTTTATTCTGTGTTTGAACCATTAGTTCTATTATCTATATTTATTATCAATAATGGAATTGCATTAAACTATTAGTCATATAAAAATACTCTTCAAATAACACAGTAGATATTAATCTTATATTTATTTATTATATAAATTGATCAGTATGGTTATTTATTTTTTTCGTTATTACTAAAAAATATTGACAAATGTGATTTATGCAAAGTTTTGACGTTGAAATAATTTATTAATTTCATCATTTTAGAGAATGCTGTATCGGGTATTTTATTTTGAATGCTATTTATTAATTTTATTAGCTGCGAATAACTAATAAAATTATGTAGACTAACATTTAAACATTTATTATTTGTTTCTAAAAGTACGATGAAACATATATTACTGAATTAAAAAAGCAAAAAGAATACATAGTGCGTATATAAGTCCATTTGACTAACTTTTAGTATTCAATGTATATCATATATGGTTTGTAAAGAATATGGAATGTAACTGGATTTTGAAAATATGGAACATGGAAATATGGTTTGAAAATTGATATTTTTCGTTTATGATTTCTCTTGAAAAAAAATTAGATTTTTATTTTCTATACACGATTTAAAAAAAAATACTTAAACAATCGAAATATGATACATTAAGAATAAAAACTGAAACTAAAATATTGATATATTTTCTATTTATAAGTGGTAGCTAAAAATTAGGAACAGTTAAATTATTTTTGGCAATATCATAACTTTTATGAATATTATGTAGAGTTAATAAATGATTATAATAAATAAATAGTTATTATTTTAGTGGTATAATTTGGTAATTTTGAAGAAAATTAAAAATTTGTTTTACAGTAAATGTTTTATAAATTAATAATGTTACTAGACTAACACTAAAAATTTTTTATTAATTTCTTAAAATTATTAATTAGCAATATAGTAAATGAATCAAAAATTTAATTTAAAATTATAAAATTATATTAATTTATAAAAAAATTAATATATATTAATTTATTAATTATTAATTTATAGAGATTTTACTATATTTTGATTTTAATAGACTAGATAATGAGAAAGCAATGAAGGAACCGCCGTTGAGAGGTGGAGCCAACTGTAACTAGGATCCAATGGACTTCGTTTATCTGATTCTTCATGCCACCGCCAGATTTTGATTGTTTATCATTACTATTGCTTTATTATTTTATTTTTTGGACAAAAAAAAGTATTGTAGTAAATAAAGTATTGTATTCATATTATACCCCATTTAATCTATTATATAAAATAGAACCTCTCTCCCTCTGAGAGTGTCCACGTAGGATCCAGCCTGGAAAGGCCACATAGGATACAGTCCACGTAGGACAGCTTAAGCCGTGTTTTATTAAACGCATATCTTGCGTATCTTCTCCTCCCTTCCTACGACACCGCCGCTTGACTTTCCCTTCCCTCTCCTGAATGAACAACTAGATGCATCTCCTGTAACGGAAGGTGTTGTGATTACTGCGTCTTCAATCACATTAATTCGTGATCCTACTACGAGAGCTTCTGATGCGTTGTTTCGACGGCGATTTCTGTATTAATAGGTTAGTGTGCTAATCTCTCTTCCTTCATGGTGATGAAGGGACCAGAGATAAAGATTCTTCTCATGGCACAGAGAGATCCAAATTATCAGTTTCTTCAACCAATGGAAATTCCCTCCGCCGTGGAGAAATCGAAACGACTCCAACTTCATCTGCCTTATCTCCGATGGGGTCAGCATAGATTCATCAGGTGCGTGAAGCTACCCGTTTTCCTCACCTTTATTTCTTCGTCTCCTTCTCCCTATTGAAACCAGGAGATGACGCCGTTGGAAACCAAAGGTACCGACTTTAATAAATGGAGGTGAACTCTGCAACTCCACCGTGGAATCTGAGGACGACAAGAGCTGCTTCTAACGAACCTGGGAGATGGGCCCACGAGGATCATTGGCAGCAACAGAGGTAGTAACGAAGGAGGTAGTGATGGAGATTCCCAGAAACTGTTCTTTGTTGAGGGAAGAAGTCGAAAAATATTTCACAGCCTCCATTGGGAAATAACACCTCCTCGAAGACAAAAGAAAAGACCAAGAACTGTTCAGAAGCAAACAATGTAATATTCCCTTCTCTCTTTCCCTACCACAAATAATGTTTTATATCTTTGCTCTGTTGCTTATCGTTGAATCTGAAATCATGACTGGGACAGATGTTATAGAAGAATCTAAAAGGGATGAGAACTTGGTTTGTTTATGGCAGTGAGAACGTCTCAGCTGATAGGATCAAGAGCTGACCCAGAAGCTTCCTGATTCCAGTAAATCAAATGCCGTTGAACAACATAAAATCTGTTTCACCCAACTCAAAAGTGAGAAATTTTGCGAGTTATTAAGATTGGTAATTTTTATCTTCACTTCTCCTTCTCTGAAATTGTCTTTTTAGTTTTCCTTCTTTTACAGGATTCATTTGGTAAGAAGCTAATGGATAGGATCCGGCCAACCCAACCCCGGTTCCTGCACAGTACTCTTCGTCCGCCTCTACCATGGTGTCTCAGGCGTCTTCTAAAGCTGCATCGGAGGTTTGCATCTGCGCTATCCAATGTCGTCTGTAGAGAAGCAAATCCAAGGGAGCCATGTTGATGCAGATCCACAGCAACACTATAGGTGTTGCCAAATCTGCACTTAATTCTCCTAAGTCCAGTTTCATGCAGACAAGGTGGTCTTTCTCTTTCTCTCTGTTCATATACACTTGGATATGTAATATAAGGAATTAAAAATGCTTCTCTTTTGTTGTTCTATGTGATCAGAAAAGACAAAACCCTGAGCAAGTAGAAGAACAAGATCCACTTATTAGTTGCTGTTCTTCTTTGTAAAGAGTATTCACTAATTAGCTGACGCCTTGGATCATGTTAGGTTTTGCTCTTATTCTCTGCCTTTGAACCACTCTTCTGATGAAAATTATATATCAATCTGGCTGTGTAAGCATACCCACTGGTATATATTCAAATATTTTTTAAAAAAAATTTGAGACTAATGTTCACACAAATTTGGAGACTAATGTTTATGGTAAATTTTAATAGGCCTTTAGACACTTCTCTGTTCCTGCATTACCTTTAATCTGTTTTTTTTATCCTTGATTGCAGCTAAGCAGGCTTTGTACCAAACACATGATCTGCTTCTTATACGCCAAGGCTGCCTTGCTTCAAGCGGGGCGTCAATACCCTGACAACAACATCAGGGAGTACACAAAGTAAAAGACCTTGGATGGGTTTCGTATGACCAAGAAACTCACTGACCCATCAAAGATGGAGGAGGCTTCTGCTGAAGGTAATGCACAGCTGGGGGTTGTAGAGAGGGTGCTCAAGGTTTACTCGACATATCTCCCAAGACCAAAACATCATGGAACTGAAGCTTCAGTAGTAGATGTACATTTTGTATTTTCAGTACCCTCATAACATATTTGTTATTGTTCATGTTTTTCAGTTTTTTTCCAACTATGAAACTTTACTTTGTGCTATTCGTATGTCACCTTTGGCTTATGGCTGCAGACCTTTATAAAGTGGAGAGAGGACGCTACCAGAGAATAATCATGGATTAGAGCAGAGATAAAGAGCAAAGGGTCTTTTGTTAATTGTTTTTAATAATAAACCTCACAAGATTATGGGTTGTTCCATTGAAATGATCGCAACTTTTCTGTAGTTTATGTTGATCTTTAGCACTGATGCTGTTAGGTTATAGAAATAAAGGCTACACTTTAGAAGCTAATAGTAATATTTTTTTTTTTTTAAATATCCTAATCTGTTCATTTATTTTATTTGATAATTTCTTAAAATAAATATGGTTATTTTTAAGTAGTAAAGATCAATATTAAACTATTATACAGATTAGCTATTTTTTTTTTGGAACGTCAGATTAGCTAATTTAGAAAATAAATTTTACACCGATTCTCCTTTCCATTATGCAAAGCTTGATTTAGAAGAAAATGTATAAGAAATTATAAAACTATCAAGGGATTAAAAGAAATTTAGAAGAGAGAGAATTCATGA